GGATGGGGAAACTGAGGCATAAATATGGGGGGTGAGTGACCGAAGGTGGCTTTCAACCCAGCCTGTCTCCCTGCAATGCCCCCCACTCAGTCCCTCGGCTGTTCCCCCACCCTGCACCCCGTTTCTGATGCACCATGGACCAGGCTGGGTGCTCTGCCCCTCTGAGCTCATCAGAGTGAGATCCGGACTCCCAGGCAGAAGCAGCAGCTCCCCTGGGGTCACACAGCCCGGGAGCTCCCCAGCCTTCTGTGGCTCAGCTTGAGCAATCAGGGACAATGACAGGGAACCCAGGGATGGGGCGGCCGCCTGAGCTGGGCCTCCCTCTGGGCCCAGAGCCCCAGGCAGCTGACTTCTGCTCCACATACCTTGGCCTGGCGACAGGCAGCAGGCAGCTGCAGCGGGGGCGGGGTGGGTTGGGCAAGGGGCTGCTCCCCCACCCCAGGCTCTGTGAATCCCGGGACTCAGGGTGGGTGTCCAGCACCCAGCAGAGGAAGTACCATGGAACCCTGCTTCGGGGAACAGCGGCCCTAGGCTTGGTGGGAGCCCCCAGCACGGTTGGGGGGAGACCAGTTCTGGCTGGTAGCCGTGGATGTCACCTCCTGCTGTCCCTGGCGGGGTAGCTGAAACATTCCTGACCTTTCAGGCCGTGCCTGGCTATTGCACAATGGGCAGCCGGGTAGCTGGTTCTAACCTGCATCCCCTCGCCCTCCCTGACCAGCCCCTGTCCCCACAGTGGCCGCCCACCCAGAGCAGACGGCCCCATGGACGGAGAAGGAGTTGCAACCTTCGGAAAAGGTGAGAGGCACGTGCAGGGCAGGGTCTGATGTGGCAGGAGCCCTGGGGGTGCCCCCTCCTGGGACATTTCAGCTCCTGCCATCTGGGGGGCTGCTGTGGGCCTGAGGGAAGGTAGACAGCCTGGGGATCCCAGGCAGAGCTTCCCCTCTGAGTCTCTGTTTCCACATCTGTGAAATGGGTGCGGTGCTACCTCACTCTAATCACGTAAGGCTCCAGTCTACACAGGGCTGTGCCTGGCACGATGCGACCAAAGCAACAGCAGCATAACCACTTTTATTTCTTCTAGTTTTATTTTTTTGAGATGCAGTTTCGCTCTTTCACCCAGGCTGGAGTGCAATGGTGGCACGATCTCAGCTCACTGCAACCTCTACCTCCCAGGTTCAAGCGATTCTCCTGCCTCAGCCTCCCGAGTAGCTGGGACAAGTGCCCACCACCATGCCCGGCTAACTTTTTTTTTTTTTTTTGAGACAGAGTCTTGCTGTGTCACCCAGGCTGGAGTGCAGTGGGATGATCTCGGCTCACTGCAAGCTCCG